TATATTTAGATATTTATATATCGGACTTCATTGCGTCAAAATCTACTCCTTAAACTGTTATTTTAATCCATATCCTGTATAGATGGTTGTTGTTTCTCACTTCTTGGTGTGTTCATCACATCAGCAATCATCCGGTTGGTGCTTTCCTTGTCTTTGTCTTCCGGTGTGATTTGTCTGTTCCAACTGAACGAGATACTGTGTGCTTCACTATCCAGTTTAATGTCTCCGTTGTCATCTCTACTAACGTTCATAGTGATATATCACTCTTTTATATTTTGGAGGAACACGGATTGCAACTACACTTTACCCCTTTCGGGTTGATTTCCATTGTGTTTTGTACTTGTAGTTTTCCGTGGCATAAGGGACAGTCAAAGGTGATAAACTTGCTTTTCAGTTTCTGCTCTTCGTCCGGTTTATCATTGTTGGTTCTTCATCGGAAAGCTCAAAATCTTCCGGTATGGGTGTTTTATTCATCTTTGGATTTGCTTTTTTGCGACGCATTTATATTAAAACTTAGATATGTAAATATCAATTGTGTTACTTCAAGCGTGTATTTACAACAGTGTTTTATTTTATAGTCTTTGACAACGGGGTATTTATCATCATCAGTAGTTCTAGTTTCCATATAATCTATTGCCGTTATGTAAGTGTCGTATTCAGAAAGCATCATACTATATATGTATTTAGGTTTTTAACTATAATTAGATATTACAATAGCAAAATCTAATTATACTGCTTTGGGGGGAGCACTGTATGAATTCAACTTGGCAATCGTCAAACACTGGGTGGGGCAAGTCCATCACAAATCAAACTAATTAGCGACTTATGCGGATTGAAGCGAACTGTCCCGTAATGGTCTCCTTCAACAAGAATATAAACATTCTATTTTCCAAATATTTGTAATATATTTCAATGATTAATATTAAACCCTATATGCACAAGGAATACAGCAGTAAGCAATCAAAGTATGGATATATGGCACCGCTTCCCGCGAGAATACTGTTGAACGCTCCTTCAGGAACGGGTAAGACAGTAGCACTGACAAATCTGATAATGGACATCTACAAAGACTGTTTCGAGAAAATCTACATTTTCTCGCCCACCGTCTTTATAGATGACACTTGGACGGTTGTAAAGAAATACATTGAAAACGAGATGGACATTAAACACTCCGATGAAAACCCCATCTACTTTGACAACTTTGAGGAGAAGGACTAAGGAGAAGGAATACAAGCACCTATACAACATCTGTATCATCATAGACGACTGGGCGGACAACGAGAAGGTGGTAAGAAAGAACAAGGAACTCATCAAACTCTTCACGAAAGGGAGGCATTGGTATATCTCAACCTTCATCACATCGCAGTCCTACACACAAATATCACCAGTTGTTGGAAAGAACGCTACACAACTCTTCATCTTCAGACTTCGTAATCAAAAGGATTTGGAGGCAATATTGGATGAGTTAAGCGGACTGTATGACACAAAGACGCTGGACAAAATCTACAGAATAGCGACGGACGACAAGCACTGTTTCACATACGTTGGTTTAATGCAGTCGGACAATACAAAAATGTTCTTCAAGAACATCAACGCCCAAATCGTTGTCAATCAAAACTAAGTTGATAATCCTACTTAACGACTTTAAAAAGCATATTAAAGAATGTATAATATTATGTATGACTGAAATTGTCGTGACGGACATAGAAACGGAAGAGGCAAAGGAAGAGAAAAAAAAAGACCGAAGTGGACGAGCAAGAGGGAAGACAGAATGAAGAGAAGCAACCAGAACCAGAAGAAGTCAATGAAGAAGTCAAAGAACAAACAAAAGAAGAGAAGAAGAACGCACAAGTGATGACCAAAACCGATATGAACAAGTTGAAGCAGAAGAACTACTCCACCAGAAACCAACGCAACGAAACGGTCTTCTGTGCTGACTGTAATAAGTATATGTCTAAACACAACTATCGCTACAACCACCGATGTAAGCCACTTCAGGAAAAGAAACAACAAAAAGCGAAAGCGGACATTATGAAACAAATAAAGGAAGAGCTACGAGCACAAGACCGCAAGGGAGAAGTATGCCACAATCAAAGAAGAGAAGAACACCCAAAAGAAGGAGAAATTAAACGTTTAGCATCAAAAATATTATAGACTAATACATATGTTGATTGATAGGCAGAAGATAGAACTGAATAAAAGGGACATCTACGAGAATGTCAGAAGAGACGTTATGAGGAAGCAGACCCTATACAGCAGTAAAAATCTATCCGGAAGCACTCCGGTAGATACTAACCCGAAGAATAAAAAAGTATATACTTCCATAGACCACTACTACCACAATGACAACAACAGCGCCAGAGTGCCAGACCACCACTACCAGAAGCACCTAAAGAATACGTTGGAGTATCACAACCTTGAACACGACTATAGAGTCCTGCGAACCAAACAGAGGATAAAGTTTAAAGGAGGAGAACGAGATGATGTCAAGCGAGATACAGAGATTCAGACAGATAAAGAAAGACCACAGATTGACAGACTACGGGGCAAACGTTGAGCCTATGAAGAACAGGATAAACAAATATAAGAAATGGTTGAGAGGTGATGACGATTAATACTTATATTCACAAATTTCTCATTCTTAATATATACTGTTAAGGCTACAGCAGTGATAAACGTTAAACAAGGATCAACAAGAGTTCCCACTTATGCGGAGTTGATAAAGGAATTAGACAAAGACAAGATTAAGACCAACGAAATAAGGAAGGTTTTTGACAGGAACGCGTGGTATTTTCACGACAGCCCACTGAACACGGCTCCCAACGAGAACAGCACCGGTCCATCCTGCGGACTTACAACAGCAGAACTTCAAGCGGATGGCGCAGGAGGCGACAATACCCGAAGACGCCCCGAACGACGATGACGAGATGGAGGAATTGAGACGATGCCATAGACCTTTATGAAAAGAGTTTTGAGAAGGAAGCGGAGATGAGAGAAGAGGAAGACAGGAAAATAGCGGAACAGGTCAGTTTAAGTCATAGGGCGGACTACCACACTATGAACAAAAACATCATGGATAATGCGGGTGCAACCGAGATTGCGAGTGCTGGTGTTCAGCAAGAGGAGGTAAAGCAAAGCTTCGCTCAATCCGTGATGGACAGAGTCAGGAAAGAAACTACTGAAGGAAGCGGTCAAGGCAGTAGCAACATCACAAGGAGGAGTAGTAGGCGGTCTCATAGCGGACAGACTATTAGACACATCAGGGGAAACGGGCAATGAAAAGATGTCTTTAGCAAAATCGTTAGGTTCAACGGTGGCAAAGAACGTCGCAGAGGCATTACTTCCAGATGTAGAGCACAAACCCAAACCAAAAGCAAAGGGAACGAAAAAAGACCCGTTAAAACCACAGAGACCAAACCCAACAGGTCTAACGGCAAAACTCACACCGAAACCCAAGAGAAGAATAACGAAGAAATCACCACCAGAAGAGGAAGAAGTAGAACATATGGATACAAGAGCAGGAAGTCAGAAGAGAGAGGAAACAGACCCACCATCACAGAATACGAAGAAGCACCATAAAAACCCAACACCAAAAAGGATGGAGACTTAACGTTGAAGGAGAACAACCGCCAAGAACAAGACCAAAGGCAAAGGCATCAGCATCATCATCTTCATCAGCACCAGCGCCAGAACAACCACCACAAGAGGAAGGACAAACAGAAACGAAGGGAGTGAAAAAGACCATCCACAAAGCGGTCGCACCCGGCAAAGCGGGGATACAGGTGATGAGGGAAGCGTTTGAAGACGGACACAACAAAAATCTCATTGACCTAATGACCTACAGGGATTACCAAGACCTATTCAAACAATGGAAGTCCGCCAAGAAGGAGGATAAAGCGGAACGGTTGAAAGAAATGAGACAAATGCAAAAAAACAAACTCTATCCAAAACTGAAGCAACAGAAATGATTGATAACATTTTACTTAAACATATTATCAAGCTCTTATTCTTCAACGAAGGTCAGACTGAAGGAAACATTCACATTATTCAAATCAACGACATTACCATAGGAATTTACAAGTTTGAAGTGAAGGGTTCTCAACACCCGATTGCTTACATTGATGTACAGTAGTCTGCCCCGATGATTTCATTGTCATAGATGACCGAACCAAAGGGAGCATTGATAGGAACTTTTTTGATGATGGCATACGCCCCAGTTGAACCCAACTGTCTAGCATCGGACAACTCACTACAAACCAAATAAACATTTCTCAAAGCGAGGAGGGTTATGTATCCACTCGTCCAAGAAGAACTATTCAACGCTGGGGTGTAGTTTCCCAAGACCTGATTTAAGGACATCCTGTTTTCCTTATCGTAAGCGTCTCCTTCCCAAAGAATGACGTTGTAATACATCTCATTGTCGGTTAAGACCCTGAAGGTCACACTCACACCCACTCACTCTCCCACTCGCAGACTCTCACTCACACTCGCACTCACACTCGCACTCACACTCACTCACTCTCGCACTCTCACCCACGCTCACTCACACCCACCTTCACTCTCACACTCACGCTCACACTCACACTCGCTCTCACTCACACTCACACTCACTCACTCTCCCACTCTCACTCTCACTC